CCTCATGGATAAGCTTTGCTTTTGGGATGGCTCTTGGGACCCCCAAGCTGCACCCTGGGGATAAATAGGCTGGGTCTGAGATCCCAAAGCTGCTCTTCATGGATAAACCTGGCTTTTAGGACAACTCTGGGACCCCCCAGCTGCACGGGATAAACCTCACTTTTGGGACCCCAAAGCTGCACCCCAGGGATAAACCTGGCTTCTGAGACAGCTCGTGGGACCCCTGAGCTGCCCCTCATGGATAAACCTCACTTTTAGGATGGCTTTTGGGACCCCCAAGCTGCACACTGTGGATTAATAGGCTGGGTCTGGGACCCCTAAGCTGCCCCTCATGGATAAACCTCACTTTTGGGAACCTGAAGTGGCACCCTGGGATAAACCTGGCCTTTTAGGACAGCTCTGGGACCCCCAAGCTGCACCCCTAGGGATAAACCTCACTTTTGGAACCCCAAAGCTGCTCCCCAGGGATAAACCTGGCTTCTGAGACAGCTCGTGGGACCCCTAAGCTGCCCCTCATGGATAAGTTTCACTTTTGGGATGGCTCTTGGAGCCCCCCCCAGAGATAAACCTCACTTTTAGGATGGCTCTGGGACCCCCAAGCTGCACCCCTAGGGATAAACCTCACTTTTGGGACCCCAAAGCTCCTCCTCATGGATAAACCTCCCTTTTGGGACAACTCTGGGACCCCCAAGTTGCACCCTATAGCTAAAAAACCTCCCTTTTGGGATGACTTTGGGTCACCCTTCAGCTCACCTGTCAGCTGCGTGACAGCGGTGGCAGCCAGCGCCTCGGTAGCCAGTGTCACCATCTCATCAGAAGCCACGGTGACAATGTTGACCTCATCCCCTTCTTCTGGCTCCAGGATTTTAATCCCAGCTTTGCCTTGATGCACCGTCTTCACGTGAGAACGTAAATTGTCCACTCGGTTAAAACCACGACCGCACTTATCACACAGGAAAGGCTTCTCCCCTGGGGACAAGATGAAGAATTTAAGGATGAATTAATGATTTTTGAGGATATTAAAAGATTTTTGGGGGGTGATTAAAGATTTTTGAGGGGTTTGAATGATACTTTACCAGTGTGAATAATGATGTGTTTGGAGAGATCACCCACGTTGACGAAGGCTTTGTTACAGACGGTGCATTTATGGGGTCGGATATTGTCGTGGTGACGGATGTGGTTGGCCAGTTGACTTGATTGAACGAACCTGAGGAGTTGGGGACAGTTGTCATCATGATTCCTGTCCCCAGAGATGACACTTGGGCACCTCCAACCACCCTCCACGGTCGGGTGC